GTTTAATAAAAGTGACTGATTTTTCTCTGTATTTTTAAAAGTTTAATAAAAGGGACTGATTTTTCTCTGTATTTTTAAAAGTTTAATAAAAGTGACTGGTTTTTCTCTGTATTTTTTTAGTGTTTTAATTCTTTTTAGGCTGCGTTTAAAGGCTACGCCAATCCGTGAAAAATGTTTGCAAATTGAGCACCTGCCAGTAAACCCCGCGATTGCGCGATTTCGTTAGTAATTTGTTTGTTTGCGAAAGTTGCGCACGGATGAATGTTGCAAAAAAAAACGTGCGCCTTATAATCCGGTGCGCCTTATATATGAAAAAAGTTTGAAAATTTACCGTTAACTGATACTGCGCCTTATAATTCGGTGCGCCTTATGGTTGTGAAAATACGGTAATATGTTCAAAGTAGTATGCACTATTCAGATCCAAAACAAAAAAGGAGTCTCCTCTGAAATGGACATGGGCTGACTTGTAGCTCGAGGATTAATTTTGCTGCTTATTTTAAGCTATTCTTCCCAGCTTTTCTTAAATGTTGTATTATTTAATTCATGTCTTTGTAGCCATTTGGATTCAGAAAAAAATGTTTGAATACCTCTGTTATACTTTGCTATGATTAATTTTCACTATGGGTATTTGGTATTTCTTTATATGTCCTACTATTCATTTCACTAACTACTTTTAAAATAAATTCTTAAAACAATAATGGTTTTTGATTTTGACAGAGGCAGAAATCGATATTCGTATGAGAGAGGAATTTTCCAAGATGTGTTTTGAAACACTGCTTCAGTTTTCATTCAGTAACAAAGTAACAACTCCTCAAGAAGGCTATATTTCACGAATGGCACTTTCTGTTCTATTAAAACGATCTCAAGATGTGCTTTATCGTTACATAGAAGATGAAAGATTAAGTGGCAAGTGTCCACTTCCACGGTATGATCATTGTTTTCCTTTTCTCAATAAGACCATTTACTTAACTGCCACCCTTTAATGATCAGGCAATTAATTTTAGATCCTAGACTTAGTGTTCATTTAGGATTCTTTTGAGCAAACACATATTACCCCATAACTCTGATTTTAAAGAAATATTTTCAGAATATACCATCAGACACTCTGGATATAAATGTTCTAAAAGCAAAGGGAAGAATGTTATAGCAAATGGCACATTGTTCCAGCTCTTTTTTGCAAGCCTGAACTTGTAAATCCTGCCTTATTGGCCCCACTGAGCTTTGTAAACTCAATTGTTGGTGGGATTCCAATCAATGCCTACTAATCCTTAGATTTATATAAAAGCCCTGCTGGTAAAAAGAAGGCTATAACTATGGCTGAAAGTATTTGCTATTATATATTATTATATATAAATATAAAGTTAATGTGTTAGATTATCTTTTTCTATTCATTAGTTCAGCTATTTTAATTTTCTAGTCTACAATACTAAGAGCTAAGAACTTTTATTTTAACATAAACATTTCTGGGGGGGAAATTATGTGTTTTGCAGTAACAATATTTTGGTTATAACAATCTCTTTCTTGCTGTTTCATTACATTAAAAAAAAGTATTACTCCAATAACTAATCACCTAGCAAATAGTTCTGTATAATATTTAGCTGAGATTTTTACTTATTTTTTTTAGCTAAACAAAGTTTTAATTTGATTTACCTAAACTTAGAATTTAAAAGAAAGGTGCTTAAATCTGTGAATTATTCTAATGTTCCTATGAGAAGTGTTGGCAAGTAATCATATATACAGAAACCTTAAATTGCACATTTTGAAACTAATATGGGTAACTATCCAAAGATTATCCATTTGCATTCTCCCTCACTTTGGACAACAGATTCCTGGGTTCTAACAGAAACATATTTTGAAATGCCTATACTGTAATTTTAAAAATGATGTATTACAGGAATTTCTTTATTAAGATAGAACAGCTTCAAAACTTAGCAGTCTGAAAGAAAAACAACAATTCAGCAACAACCTCTTTTTTCATCATTCTTTACATAGCCAGGGTTCAAAAATTCTAAAAATAAATAAGATCTGCAATACAATTTCAGCTTTACATACCTCAATCCACCTCTCTGCCCAAGAATAGCTTGTGTCAAGGAGGCAAGGAAGAAGGATCGCCTTTTAGGTTTTTTTTCCTTAAAATTCACTTCAGTAGTTCTGCAAAGCTTGGCTCCCCTTCTTCCACAGTATATATATATATCTCACCATTATTTGTCAGCAAACTTGTTTTGACTACATCCTATTGACGGTATCTGCTCAAGTAATTGTTAGTATGCATAATGAAAACAGAACTATATATAGCTAGTCTTATTTTCCACTGCTTTATTGAAGATACTTTAATTAAATTCCCGGAAATGACCAATTTTCTGGAAATAAGTAATACTTTGAGAAATGTTTAGATAAAACACAAGCTTTTGTTTTAATTAAAGTACAGTAAGGGATATAGAGAAATGACAAAAGTGTATTTTACAAAATAAGTGTAATCAAATCTTGATTATAACTTTCTACAATTTTAACATCGTCTTTTTTTTATTCCTACTCTAGGCAACAAGTTACAGAAATAATATTTGTTTTAAAAGCTGTCAGTACTCTCATAGACTCTCTTAAAAAAACTCAGCCAGAAAACGGTAAGTAATATTTTCTTATAGGGTATCAACTTTTCCTGTTATTGATTATAGTCTTGTAAGATAGAGACTGTTAAATTTGGCTCTGATAGTGTAGATCTGACATTGTAAAGATTTTCACAATGAGGCATAATTTGCAGTTGCTAAGACGTAAATGCTTTAAAATAAAGTTATATAAGTTAGCATTTTTTTCTTATTGCAGTATGTATCTACTATGAATTTTTGGAAGATTAAAGTATTTGTTCTAAATAATTTGAGAGAGAGTTGGGTATTATTTTAAATGTTTCTAAGATGGAATTTTGAAATATACTCTTTAAAAAATTCTTTTAAAAAGCAAATGAAGTGTTTTGGTTTAGCAAATGAAATACATTTTGATTCTTTTAAGAATACTTAAATATATAATGGGTTGGATTATATAATGGAAGGATAATCAATCATACTAATTTCAAAATTGGCACATGAATAGATTACATGAGACTAAATGCAGATATTCTACAGGTAGTCCTCAAGTTACAATCATTCATACAGTGGCTGTTCGAAGTTACAGCATTGCATAACAAAGACACTTACGGCCAAATCTTGAAGCATCAGGCCATTTCAGCATCCCTGCAGTCATGTGATCAAAATTGGGCACTTGGTAGCCTGCCTGCACTTACTAAAGGGATGCTTCAACTCCCCCCATCCATCCCTTTCCCCACCATTTATATCCTTTTGGCCCTCTGCGCTGTGCTCCCTGCCACCCTAGCTCACCTTTGCGATCTTCTTGCTCCTGATGTTGACCAAGCATGCCTGGCCTGGCTCTTCATGCAGCAGCTGCTGGCCACACAAGACTTTCTTCCCAGAGTCATATATGGAAGTTTTTTTCATGAGACTTGGGGAAGATGGCTTCATGATCAGCAGCTGCCTCAAAAGGACCAGGACAGACATGCCTTGTCAGAGCGGGAGCAAGAAGATGATGCAGTCAGCTGAGGAGACAGAGTCCAGGTTGAGACCTGTGGCTGGGATTGCGATAGGACATTTGGGGCTTCCCAAGGTGTTGCAGCTTTGCACCATGTTGATAGTGCAGCTGCAGCTTCCAGAGGCTGCTAAGGCTTCATACTACCCTGTGCTCGGGCTTTTTAAAGCTCCAAAGCCATGGCATGCTAAAAAGCTCTTGAGCCAAAATAGTGACATTAGATTTTATGGCTACATTGCTTAGCAATGAAAATTCTGGTACCTATTACCATTGTGCCTTGAGGAGTACCTGTACTTAATGTGCTTTGAACTGCTTGTTACATGTATGAAAGTTATAAATGTCAATTTTAGGTGTCCTGAAATAAATTTAGCATAAAATACTTTATATTTCAGTCTTGGTACCCTTTGAATCATTTTCCCATAAAACCAATTCACATTTTGAAATTGTCCCCCAATTTATTTAGTATCTATTTATAACCTCTAATTCTGTACAGTCTTGTATTTTTGATACCATTAACCAATACCAAATAATTTAAAAGCTTTTTTTATGTCCAAATGTCACTGGTTTAACCAAAATGCTAGAAACAGATTGACTGTCATCTGTTCTTAAACTGTAAATATTCTATCCTAGTAATTTTTTCATACAATAAAAAAATAACGACCATTCACTTATGAATGGTCTTTGGTGAAAGGCAGGTCATAAGCAATTCACTGGAGATGTGTCTTGAACAGTTAAATTGTGATAAAAGAAGAATGGACATATAAAACTGTTATTTATGCATACATGAGTCTTATTAGCATAAGTGTAGGTAAGGCTACTGAGAGCCTAGAAGACATAGTGCTAGGGAAAGAAGACTATTTAGCATTGTTTGGAGATTTGTGTTGCTGAGCAAGCAATCTCATGCTAAGGAATGACTCCCCATTCCTCCTTCACTGCCTTACATAGCTTGTCCATCCATCTCATTTAATTGAGAAAGACTTAGCTGAGAAAGACTATTTTTGCATTCTGAACTTTTTTATACCTTGAAAGTAATTCCTCTATTAATTTCTTAATAGAGGAAAAGAAAAATCTAGACAGAATGACTCATTTCCTTCAATGGCTTAAGACACTGCCATGACTGGCATCAAAAGCAGGTTTCTGCAGAATTTAATCACAGGAGTTCTATGGTGTAAGATGCATTCACACATATATTCAGGCAAGATGCAAATGCCCAAATGTTATCTGGTTCCCATCAGGTATGGGAACATGTTTACTAGAGCAATAAAAGCTGCTTCTGTCAAGATAATCTCCAGTAGTTCTTACTTGCTTCATTAACTTTACCAATCTTACAGTTAAGAATTGCAAGAAATAAAAAATACTAAAAAGACCTCCCAATGTTCCTCCAAATTTAAACAATATTAATAATACTTTTGTGGCAGTGAAAAAGGTTCTAAAAATCTTATAAATGTACTTATTGTTACAGTTGATGATAACACATGGGCACAGGTTATTGCTCTGTACCCAACATTAGTAGAATGTATCACCTGTTCATCTTCAGAAGTCTGCTCTGCTCTCAAAGAAGCATTAGTGCCATTTAAGGACTTCATGCATCCACCAGTATCCAAGGTACAGAATGGAGAGTCATGACCAAGTTTTAATACTTTTTAAAGAAAAATTCTAATAAAATGTTTATTATGACTTGACACATCTCTAATAAATCTCATATGACTTGTACTTGGTAAGCAGTATTGACAACCTCTAAACTTTATAACCAAAACTCAGTGATTCATATCAAGCTCACATCTGAATCTAGTGAGTGGAGGTAAAAAGTACAAGCATTTGACTGAAAAGAATCCATTTTAAAGTACAGTACTTGCTACAGTAACTTGAAGTGGTGATTGAAAAGTGGACTTATGTATAGCTTGTTGTGGATGACTTAATGATGTAATTAAAAAGAAACTGATTTGTTGAATTTAGGCAGGAGTTTTACACTCTTTTTTTCAAGTACAAACTGTACTAAACTTTTATGCAAGATGGTACCGTAACATTCCATATTATCTGTAACCAGCCTTTGTAAACAAAGGGAATGTGTATTTCTGTGAATAATAAATCGTACAGTTCTGTAAAAAACTGCATTTATTATTTAAATTATTTTTAAATATTGATAATGTTTAAGGGTTGAAAATACATTTATTATAAACATTACGTTATATGTATTTTTACTTAAGTGCATTCATCTCTGAGCATACAGGGTTTTTCTTTCTTTTTTTGGCATATTTGAATGTATATTATCTGTGGCCATTGAATTTTACTAACAAGTCATGTGAATAAAGATAGTGGCAAACAGCATACGAGCTACTGTTAAATTAATCTGCATAGCCAGAACATTGCTGTGTAACACTCAAAACTATCATATCTCATTTCATAAACTAATTGTTTTACTTTTAGCCCCTTCATACTACACTTTTAAAAAATCTTATATTTGAAATGTATGTGTTTTCTTTGTTTTGGTCCTAAACAGCGTTGAACACCATTAATTATAACTAAAGCAAGATATTTTCAAGTATCAGCAATATTTTACTGTGTGTCATTGTCATTATTTCAGCTATCTTAAATGGTTTGTCTTTTCAAACTAAAAAAAAACAGGGTTTGCGGGGTATGATGTGTGTGTGATACAAGAAAGAAGTGTATTTTTGAAGATAGCTCAGAGATTCAGTAAATTATCAAAGAACAATTGTTGTTTCCCTTTACTTAGAGTGCAGCGGGGGTGGGTGTCCATGGGGTTGCAAAGACTTAGCAACACGACTTAGCAACTGAACAACAACAATCACAGGGTTATTTTTTTAATAAAATCATTTTGTCATCAAAATTACTATGTTAATATGATATATCAATACATTTTACTAGAAATTGTTTGAGAGCCTAATCATATCACTTCAGTTGTTTGGTCTGCGTAAAACAGTAACTATTTCAAACCAGGCAGATATTTCAATTCACTAACTTTTGTAATAGAGTACTCTGGAAATTGTCACAAATACTGCGACATAAGTAGGTACATTTGTAAAATTGAGCTTTGTTCTTTTTTCTCTTAAGAATTTTGGTGAAGTAGGTAAAGATGTATAAATAAAAATCATTTTATAGCAATATACCTTCAAAGATAATTTAAGTGACTTCTAAATTACCTAAAATATTTTGAAGTACCTTGAATTTAGAACAAGAGAATATGATAAAAAAATCCTGATAGCACTGATGACAGACATGTGGCTCCTGAGACAACTTTGCAGAAGCCTCTGAAGATGCAGAGGCTGCTTCTAACTCTATGGCCTCATGACGAGTCAGCATCTCCTGACAACCAACAGGATGAGCCTGTTTTCTCCCAATTTACTTCAAATGCCAATCTCCCTAGAGGTTCATAGAGGTCTCCCTCAGCTCATTTATCCCTTTTTTATATCTGATATAGAAGAAAAAACTCCAGAAATATTGGCAATATTTCTATTCAAAAATAGGCATTTAAAGGCATCTTTAGACATAACTTATAGGACAAGCTGGTAGTCAGCTGTACAGATACTTATTGGTTCAGATTGTCCTGATTAAGTCACAATGAAATACTAATATTTTCAAATAAATTAAGTTCTGAATATGGTAAAGCGTAAACCTATGCAAATTTTTTGATCAAATATAACAAATTTGTTCTGTTTTCTTTCTTATGTGATAGTAAACTACATTCCATGAAAATAACACATTCAGGTCTCTGAATTATTTCAGGGGGCGTGGTTTAATTGATGTTACCCATTTTTTTGGAAGAATAAACCAGCATCCTTCCCCCTCAGTCTGGTTAATTAAAAGCATCAATAAAACTGGCGCTTTGGGGGAAAGGGATTTGAAGTTACAGATTTGATAGCTCTAGTATATACTCTATTAGCATGCTAATCAGATTAGATTAAATCTTAAACTGGAACAGACCTCTTAATTGGTTGCTCTACAGGTATTCCGGCTTACAACCATTTGTTCAGAAACTATTTGGTTATAACAACCCTTAGACAAATGTGATTAGAATTTGGGTGCTTGG